CTGAGTCAACCCTGAGCCGGTGAGATTTGAACCGCTGACCTGCTGATCTAGCAGTAGCCTGCAGTGCTGCATTTAACCACTGCGCCACCTTGGCTCTTGAAGGGTTTTGAAGGGCTTCTCAATTGAATTTCATTGAACTTAATTGGAATTTAATTAAGTTAATTTTTAAAAAAAATCAAATTAAATTAAATAACTTGAATGGACAGCCTGAAAGGCTATAGAGGGTCTCCTGTTTGAGCAGGTCATTAGATTATCGAGACCCCCCCCCAAGACCATGCCCCAATTTCTGTTATTTAAAAAATAGAGGGCCTGTAGGACCCCCCCCCCAATCAATTTGCATCATTTAGATTCAGAAACACGTAAAGGAAGTCCTTGACTTTCGACCGTAATTGAGATTGGCATTTTAGTTGTAAGCCCTGGTGGTTTGTATAGCGTTAGCCAGGGGAACTTCCCGACACTTGATATTCAGATTTTTTATTAAAAATATCTGTGAGAGAACAAACAAGAAGCCTCATGCTGTGCTCCCCCCCTCCAAATACCTCAAAAGGACATAATTCTACATCCCCCCCCCCCGTCCTCCAGGGAGAGCCGAGCGCATTGCATCGATATTGAGACGGCCTACATGCGCGGGTGTGAGAAATTGGACCAGGCTGTGATGGTAAGTGGGAAGAGGACAAGAAATATTGTAGGGGCTGGGAATGGCTTTTATTTCGCAGACTTCCCGCCTCTGTTTCTGAGGTTTTAGAGTTGGAGGTAAAAGGGACTTTGGAGGGCATCTAGTCCAGCCTCTGGAAAAGGGCGGGAAGGATGTGGCACAACAGGGATATTAGCCCACGCTGGGACCAGATGTGGAAAAGCGATTGGATGTCTTCGTCCTTCCTTCCTTCCTTCCTTCCTTCCTCCTTCCCTCCCTCCCTCCCTCCCTCCCTCCCTTTTTCCTTCTTTCCTCCCTTCTTCCTTAATGCTTTTCCTTCCCTCCATCTCCTTCTCCCTCTTTTCTTCTTTCCCTTTGCCTTCCTTCCTTTTCCTTCTTCCCTCTTTTCCTCTCTTGCTTGCTTCCTCCTTCATTTTCCCCTTTTCTTCCTTTCTTTCCAGCCTCCCCCTTTCCTTCCTTGTCCAATCATTCTCTCCTCCCTCCCACTCCTGTCCCTTTTTCTTTTTCCCTCCCCTTTCCCCTTCCTTCCCTCCCTTCCTCAGCCTTGTTTCCTTTTCTTTTCTTTGTTTCCTTTTCCTTCTTTCCTTCCTTCTTCCTTTTTTTCTTCATTTTCCTCCCTTCCCTTCTTCACCCTTCCTTTCCTTCCATCCTTTCCTTTCCTTCCCTCCCTCCCTATTTTTCCTTCCGTCCTTCTTCCCTCCCTCCTTCCTTAATGCCTTTCCTTCCCTCCATCTCCTTCTCCCTCTTTTCTTCCTTCTGTCTTGCTTTTCCTTCTTCCCTCATTTTTCCTCTCTTGCTTGCTTCATTTTTCCTTTTCTTCCTTTCTTTCCACCCTCCCCCTTTCCTTCCTTTTCCAATCATTCTCTCCTCCTTCCTACTCCTGTCCCTTTTCCTTTTTCTCTTTTCCTTCCCTCCCTTCCTCACCTTTGCTTCCGTTCTTTTCTTCGTTTCCTATTCTTTCTTTTCCTTGCTTCCCTCTTCTTTTTCTTTCTCCTTCCTTCATTTTCCTTCCTTCCCTTCCTCACCCTTGCTTCCTTTCTGTTCTTCCTTTCCTTTCTTTCCTTTCTTCCTTTCCTTTCCTTCCTTACGAGAAAAAAGTTTCCAAAAGGGGCCCCTTTTTGCAAACTTCACCCTGGCCCCCTCCAAAGGGCCGGCTTCAGGAGCCACGCCCCAGAAGACTCGGGTTCGAGAGGCAGCCAACAACAGCTGGCAAAGCCTGCCCCCCCCCAATAAACCTTCGGGGAAGGCCCTTGGAGAGCCGTGTCCCACACGTGTCCGTCCGTGGCAGGCGGTCAAGGAGCTGCAGACGTCCACCCGCGAGGCCATCGTCCTGCTCAAGGCCATGATTGAGGAGGTCCGGAACAGCGCAGACGAGGAGTCATCGGCCATCAACGGCCTCTTCAGCAGCATGCAGGTGAGACGGGCCCCCTGTGGCCAACACCGCAGGGCGGGCGGTCCTGCTCAATTCCTCCTTTCCGTTTTCCTTCTCCTAGGAAAAACTGGCCGAAAGGAAGAAGACTCTCCTGAAAGCTGTGCAGAGGTAAAGTTTTGCACCCGGGGAGAACCGGGCAGCGACCTGTACGCAGGTAGTCCTCGGACTTACGACCATCTATTTTTATGTATAAATTTTTTTGCAGATGTTTTTAAAATTATTTTTTCCCTTCTGCAACACCTTACAGTCGTTATATCAACATTGTTATGTCATCATACCTGTACGTGTATATAATATTTCGCTTCTATATTTACGCACCTTTATACACAGTTTATATATATATATAAACAGCACAAATATAATATTATCAGCACAAATATAACATATATATATATATATATATATATATATGTATGTATGTATGTATGTATGTATGTATGTATGTATGTATGTTT